TTCTTGTAAAATAACATTTTTTTTAGCGAATGTTCAGTAATTACAAGTTTTAATTACCACTTAAAAATTCTGGCAGTTTCAGTAACCTGGCTAATACTGTGAAATTTGGAAAACACAGTTAAATTCGTTAAACTTTTAAAAATTCTTTAGCGCCGTATCCTTTCAGAAAGTAGACGATCATGGCCCTCCACAAATTCCTTTTATTTATTATTTGTGAATTGTAATACATTCTTGGTAAATATATTGGAGTGGTTTCTCATTGTTTTCTCTATAGATTCCTTTGCATTATTATCTGTGAATTACCAAGCATTCTTGGTAGGTATATTAGAGTGGTTTCTCATTGCCTTCTCCATAGATGCCCTTTCTTTATTATATGGGAATTGCAATGCATTCTTTGGAAAGATAGCAGAGTAGTTTCTCATTGCTTTCTCCGTAGATTCCTTTTCTTTATTATCTATGAATTGCCATATATTCGTAGGAAAGATAGTGGAGTGGTTTTTTTATGGTACTTTCCGCTGATTTTATTTCTTTATTATCTTTGAATTGCCATTACTTCTTAAGTAAGATAATAATAAGCTTCCCTATAGCTTTCTTCACAGATTTCTTTACTTTAGTATCTGTGAATGGTCATGTCTTCTTAGGTTAGATACTGGAGGGTTTTCTCATTGACTTCTCCACAGATTCATTTTCTTTTATTCTCTTTGAATACTCATGTATATTTGAGAAAAATTGTTAATGCCTTTCTGTTGTGGTACGATCCACCTAATTTACATAAGTGGAGTACCGACCATATAAATATGGGTTGGTACCGGGAAGACGGAGGAAAGTAAGAAGAGATCCAATCGAGAGACTCTGCCCGACTGCGATTTAGTCAACCCATTCTGGAGGAACAGTCTTCCCAAGAATATACCAAAACTAACTGTAAATATGTGTACCTTTTCCTTGTTTCAATACATTTTGTTTACGTACATTTTGTGTTGTATTATTATTATTCCATGCTTATCCAAGCTTCAACACTTTCCCATTGCCTTTTCCACGGTTTGGTATTCAGAATAATCCTCTTAGGCTGGCAACTACCCAGACATAAACAGTCCAGTCTATCCCGGTATGTAACCTGTAGATTGGGAAGTGAAAGTAGAATCCATCTTATTTTCAAAGACATTAATCTGAAAATGGAAACAACAGATTCAATTTTATTTCTTACTCAACATTTTTCTAAAGATATTTTTTGGCCTTTATATGGCGTTATTTGGGATGTAGTCAGAGATGACTTTCCACGGAGGTTCTTTGTTATCTGCGAATAGCTATGCATTATTGGGAAATATGGTGGATTGCTTTCTTGTTCCTTTCTGCATGGTTTGAAATTCAAAATATTCCTTCCAGATTGGCTGTAACACAAAACGAGAGAATCCAATTTACGCTGCTACTTAACCCATAGCTAGCGGGAAAAGAATCGAATTCATACATTTTCTTTAAATGATAAAACGAAACTAAGTGAGAGTGCCACTTTCAATAAAAAAAAATGTATTATAATCAATAAATTTAGAACTTGTCATATTCCGAATAATTAAAACCGTTTTTATTTTTTATTTTCCAAATTAATTTAACTGGGATTCATGGAAAGTAAAATGAAGATGATGACACAAAGTGGAAAATTTTATTTTCCTAACGTGTTTCGCCGTACAGCGTAAATTTTCTTTGGCTTCCTCAGGTTAAAATTAATGAAAGATAAAACTGTGTATGTGGAAAATGTTCTCGAGTCTCTGAGGATAAGACGGCATCATTAATGAAATTAATTACCTTAGCGCATCATCTCTTAATTTCCAAACTAGTAGAGTGTATATCTGCATGGGTACTTGCATTTTTTTTTATCTCTATCTGTAATAGATTCACTTGGATTGTTTTAACACATTTTCCGTTTGTATGTTATTTTTATAAATATTAACGGAGAATATATTAAAATAATTGTCGGACTTAATCCATTTCATAATATGTTTTCATTGTTTCAATTAGGATATATTTCGTCAGCAAGATATGATCGATCGAGAAAAACTGCGGAATGTGTGTTTATAAACAGTAATTCAGACTTTGCTAATCAGACGCTTCTTTCTAGCTGAATGGTTAACAGCACATCAAATCAAATGACAGTTCCCATTAAGGGTTACAGGTTCGATTCCTGTCGGAGAAGAACATATTTTCTACGAAATTTCTCGAAGATTCAGGGCAGTAAAAGATAATTAACTCTGTTTAATTACACAAAAAATACAGAGCATTTACTTAAATAAATTATATCTATAAAAATAACTTACAAAAACAAAATATATTAAAATAATTGTTAGAATTAATCCATTTAATATATATATATATATATATATATATATATATATATATATATATATATATATAATAACTAAAAGTTGCAAATTAAAAAAAATAAGAATGTTTTTTTATGAAAGTATTTATTTATATTTGATATTTCAGATCGACCTCGATCTTTCTTCAGAAATAACTGTTTTTTGAGGTTTGTTTACAAGTAGCGTCCGTCTCGAGATGCGGACGTCACGTGAGATGGAATTCGAATATTTTTAACGTAAATCTAACGGTAATATGTTGTTTAAAAAAAATTAACTATATCTAAAAAAATGTTTAACTATTGAAAAATTTATAAAGATTTCAAATACCCAGGTCTTTATTTAACCCTAGTTTATATGTGTTTAATTTTAAAATCCAGTATTTTCCTTTTTTTCTGCGTGTGTATGTGGAACTGAAATCAGAATCTATCAATAAACATTTACAGTTTTCTAATGAGTGTCCTGATTGATTAAAGTGTTTAGCTATGGGGGAATAAGGGTTGTTTTGACGTATGGTTTGTTTATGACTGTTGAAGCGAAATCTAAAATTATTTCCAGATTCACCAATATATCCACTATTGGGACATAAGGTGCAGAATAAATAGTAGATTATGTTATGGCTATCACAGGTGAGGCGAGGTGGTGGACTCTCCCATCGTATTCGAAGAATGAGTGTCAAACAACTCAGTTACTAGGAACCGACAGCCTAGACACACACCAGCAAATATGATTTGACTATAGTGGTGAAGGCTTTGTGCGGAACCAACCACACTTTCTGAAGTGCCGATTACAGAGACCTGGTGCACTACGTACCATAAGGTCCCCAAACTACCCTCCACAAGTTTTGTATTCAGAGTTGTCTTTTTCCTAGACCAGTTGCCATCCAAGGCTATAGAACCCAGTTTGTCCTGCTATTTACCCAGCTGGAGGGAGAAGAAGATTAGTACCTTTCCCAAGCACGCAAGTGAATGTAATGGATTCGACTGAATTGAACTCGGCTCTCCGATTCCTCAATCCGAGCCGCTATCCACTACTCCACTATATATCAGGCACGTGCCGTCAGTAAATTACTCAGGGTAGGCAACTTGTGATATGTATGCAGTAAATGTACAAAAAATAATCTATATTGAATTTAATGCATAATAATCACGGTAACCGTCATAATTTTGTTGGATTAGGTGCATATTTTGCCACAGAAGGGAAATGTAGCTCCAGATCTATTTTATTCGGGGTAGTCACTGTGCCTACCATGCCTAACAAGATGGCACGTCCCTGATACACACACACACACACATATATATATATATATATATATATATATATATATATATATATATATAAAGGCAGGATGTGTGTGTGTAACGAATGCACGGCCGCAATTTTCGACGGATTTGCACCAAAATTTACAGGCACATGCTCCAAGTTAGCGGGAAGGCCAAGACTGACGTTGCATTTCCCAACTCCCATCGATAGTGGAAATAATCGATTTTTTCATGCTTCTACGGCAGTTTTCATGTAGTTTGTGGCCATTTTCTACTGGCCAGAGTGAGAGCCTATAGCTGGCTGCCACGAATAGGCAGGAAGATTCTATTGGGCAACGTGAGAGCCAACAGCTGACTGACACGAATGTTAACTAGCATGCTAGCATGCAAAAAAAAATCGATAGCTGCATTCGTCACAAGTGGGAAAAATTTAAATCTGCATAGCACTTTACTCCAATTGGCTTATTCGCTTGCTTAAACTCAACGTTGATTCTGATTCCGCAGAACTGGGTTGCGTGTGAAAAAGTATTAGTTGTTAACATTCTTTTTTCATTCGGTTTTTCCAGTTACGAGTCCTTTTTAAAGCTGATCGTTTTGTGTTCATTTTGTTTAGTTCTTTTTTCGTAACAGATTTAATGTTTAGTATAGAGCTTAGAAAAAAATCGCAGTGTGAGATAGGCAAGAAGGAAGGCATGTAGCAACATCAGCCCGGCAAAGGGCACTCCTTTAAAGGCAAGAATGGGCAAAAATATTTTAAGTCAAGTGATAGCGATTGCTGTATGAGTCGTAACGATTTTTGAATCAAGCACGGGCAACGCCGGGCCATGCTGCTAGTATATATATATATATATATATATATATATATATATATATATATATATATATATATACTTTTTACTTAGGTTACATACATACACATCCAACCAGACTTATATATATATTAGGGTCTTTTTTTGCATATATGTAGACATATCAATTCCCATCTATATACAGCTGTATATTTTCTCACACACGATTTTGTCTTTCTTTCATTTTAACTTCAGGAAGTGAAAGAGAGCATACGCTCTCCGGAAAAACGCGTCGTTAATAAAATAAATGTTTCCTCTTAGTCTTATCATTTTAGTTCATATAGATCTTGGTTAAATTAATTTGGACAGTAAAAAAAACGGTTTTAATTACTCGGAATTTTAATTCTGTGTTAGAAAATAATTCTCACCTGTATTTGTTTTTGTTTTTTTATGGAACTGGAAGTCTTACCTAGTTTTCATTTTATTATATAGAGAGAAATAAAGAAAGCCTAAGCACAAGCCACTTAAAAGCGCATAAAATTTTTACCAAAACACTTAGGAAATATGAGATGCCAATGGCGGCTTTTCAAGTTCAGGTGCTACACCAAAAGGGTAAAGAAAAAACACAGAAGAAAGAAAGAAAGAAAGAAAGAAAGAAAGAAAGAAAGAAAGAAAGAAAATTGTGCGGTTAAAAAAGAAGAGAAAGCGCAACAGGTAGAAAAAGAGAACGTGGGGGAAATTACGAAAAGAAAATAGACACTATAGATATTAAAGAGAGGGAGAGAGAAGGGAGGAGAAAGAGGAAGGGAGAGAGAGAGAGGGAGGGAGAGAGAGAGAGAAGGGAGTGGAAAGGGGGAGAGAAAAGAATTCTGGAGAGAATAAGACAACGAGGAGGAGAAAAAGAGAAAAACAAGAGCTACATTAAAAGTTTTAAAAAATAACACAGGAGAAGAAGAAAGAAAAAAAGAAAGAAAGAAAGAAAGAAAGAAAGAAAGAAAGAAAGAAAGAAATTGTGCGGAGGAGATTACGAAAAAGAAGTAGACGCTATAGAAAGAAAAGAGAGGAGGGATTGAAAAGGGGAAGAGAAAAGAATTCTGGAGAGAATAAGACAATGAGGAGGAGGAAAAGAGAAAAACAAGAGCTACATTAAAAGTTTTTAAAAATAACACAGGAGAAGAAGAAAGAAAGAAAGAAAGAAAGAAAGAAAGAAAGAAAGAAAGAAATTGTGCGGAGGAGATTACGAAAAAGAAGTAGACGCTATAGAAAGAAAAGAGAGGAGGGAGTGGAAAGGGGGAGAGAAAAGAATTCTGGAGAGAATAAGACAGAGAGGGAGGAGGAAAATGAAAAAAAAAAACAAGAGTGGAAGAGAAAGAAGTGGAGATGGTAAAAAAGAAGAGAAGACAGACGTGATGAAATGAATAGATAAAAAAGAAAGAGATCTGAGACAATAAAACTTAAAAAAAAAAAAGCGAAAACGGGTAAAGTGTGATATTAATGGAAAAGAGTAAAGAACGTCAAGAAATAGAGGAAAAGAAGTAGTAGTAGGAGGAGGATAAGAATGGAAAGAAAGAAGAAGAAAAAAGAAGGAAGAAGAAAATGGATGAAGAAAGAAAGAAAAAAAGTAAGGAATTAAAGAAAGAAGACACAAAGAGAAGAAAGGCTGATAAAAAGAAAGACGAGAAAAAGATGACTGAAAGTGTGTAGAAAAGGGACGACTGAAAAACAAGAATAAAGGAAAGAAAAGAGAATAAAGAATAGTACTAATAAAAGAATAAAAAGAAAGAAAGCAGAAGAAAAAAGAAAGAAGAAAATAGATGACGAAAAAAAAAAGTAAGGAATTAAAGAAAGAAGAAGAAACAAAAAGAATAAGAAAGGCTGATAAAGAGAAGGAAGAAAAAAAGATCGCTGAAAGGGACGAATGAAAAACAAAAATAAAGGAAAGAAGAGAGAATAAAGAATAGTAATAAATGAAGAAGAAAAAGAAAGAGAGAAGGAAGAAAAAGAAAGAAGGAAAAAGAAATAGAAGAGAATAACGTGAAAAAAGTAGAGATGAAAAAAAAGTGAGGTTAAACGACGAAGGAATGAATAGATAAAAAGGAAAGAAAGAGAAAAATTTCGAAATAGAACAAAGATCAACGAGAATGTGATGAAAAAGAAAACAAAAACACAACTTAAGCAGAATGGAATGAAAAAAGACGAAAGGACCACGGAAAAAAAAAAGTAAAAGCTGGAAAGAGAAAGAAAGGAAATAACAATAGATACATGAAAGAGAAAAGAAAGATAAAGAGGTAAAGGATGTAAAAGAAGAAGGCTGGAAGAGCGTTATAAAGAACAATAAAGCGGTTAAGAACAATGAAGAAGAAAAGAAAAAAAAAGCCCAATGATAAAGACGTGAGAACGAGTATAAAGAGGAATAGGAATAGAGGGAAGAAGAAATAAAGGGAGAGGGTTGAAAATGGAAATAAAAAGAAAGAAATATGAGACAATGAATCATACTTATTATAAAACCCAGGTTGCGTGTGTGCGTCTGTTCGTTTATATATTGGATCGGATTTCCTACACTTTTCAACCGATTTCAACAAAACTTCACAGGACTACGTAAAATTACCTTGCGGTGGTTCTGAAAGCGCTAAAAATTGGAAATAAAATTGTTTTTGCACGAAATCAATTTGAAGACACGATTAAGAGGCATCACTGTCGCGAGAATGAAAGGGGGACAACTCATATCGAGTTATACTTATTATAAAACCCAGGTTGTTTGTGTGTGTGTCTGATCGTTTATATATGGGATCGGATTTCCTACATTTTTCAACCGATTTCAACAAAATTTCATTTTTTTTTTTTGGCAGGTAGTGTTTCTTATTGTCTTGCACACTTTTTTCTTTATTTTTACATTCAGAAGGCCTTAAAAATTCCATTTACAAGGCAATTGTTTATAATAAAATTCTATTCAATCGGTAGACTCATAACGATTGAAAACAATGTTTTTGTTTGAGTTTGGGTTTGACCAATTCGTAAAAAAATAATAATTAAGACATGCGTGTCCGTCAACCTTAAACAATAATCTTTGTCAATTTTATTTTTCAGTCTTTATGATGGTCGATACTTGATCTATCTCTTACTGTTACATCCCTGGGCAAAGCCGGGCTCTACTGCTAGTGATAAATAAATAACGAAAACGAATAGAATGAAATATCAATGGAAAAGGAGAAAGGAACTCCAATAAATAGAGAGGTTGTAGTAGTAGTAGTTGTAGTAGTAGTAGTAGTAGAAGTGAAAGAAAGAATGAAGAAAGAATAAAAGGGATGCTGAAAGAAAATAGATTAAGCAACAGAAGAAAAAAGAAGAAGGAAAGGAAGCTGATAGAAAGAATGGAGAGGAAACGAACACTGAAAAATGTGTAGAAAAGGGAAGAATGAAAAAATAAAATAAAGAGAAGAACAGAGGATAAAGAATAGTACTAAGAGAAGAAAAGAAGGGAAAAAAGGAAGGAAGAAAAAGAAAAAAGGAATAGAAAAAAAGAGAAGAGAAGAATGAAGACGCTGGAAGAATAAAGAACGAAGAGAAAGAAGAAGAAAGACTGATAAAAAGAAGGAAGAGAAAAAGACTGAAAAGGCGTAGAAAAGGGAAGAATGGAATACAGTATGAGAGGGAATAAAAGAGAATAAAGAATTAAAAGAAATCGAGAAGAAGAAGAAGAATGAGAAGGAGAAGAAAAGAAGAAGAGTTAAAAGAAAACGAGAAAAAAGAAGAAGTAGAAAAAGAAGAAGAAGAAAAATTTAAAAATGAAAAAGAGGAGAAGAAAAGAAGAAAAATTTAAAAAATGAAGACAAAAAAAAAAAAAAGAAAAAGAAGAAGAAAAAAAAAGAAGAAGAAGAATGAGGAGGAGAAGAAAAGTTTAAAATTAAAAGAAAACGAAAAAAAAGAAGAAGTAGAAAAGAAGAAGAAGAATGAAGAAAAGGAGAAGAAAAGAAGAAAAACTAAATTTTAAAAAAAAAAAGAAGAAAAAAAAAGAAGAAGAAGAAGAAGAAGAAGAAGAATGAGGAGGAGAAGAAAAGAAGACAAATTAAAAGAAAACGAGAAAAAAGAAGAAGTAGAAAACGAAGAAGAAGAATGAAGAGGAGAAGAAAAGAAGAAAAATTTTAAAAAATGTGAAAAAAAAGAAGAAGAAGAAGAAGAAGAAGAAGAATGAGGAGGGGAAGAAAAGAAGAAGAGTTAAAAGAAAATGAGAAAAAAGAAGAAGAGGAAGAAGAAGAAGAAGAAGAAGAAGGAGAAGAAAAGAATAAGAAAAGAATAAGAAGAAAAAGGGGAAGAAAAAGGAGAAGAAGAAGAAGAAGAAGAAGAAGAAGAAGAAGAAGTTTGGAGACAATGAGAAAGAAGAAAAAGAGCGAGCGAAGATTAAAAACGAAAGAAACGAAAGAAAAATAATAAAAAAAAAAGAGACGGGTGAAAAGGAAGAGAAAAGGTGTAGATTAAAAAAGAGGGAGTAAAACGGAAGAAAGAGTCAAGAAGAGAAAAATAAATAGAAAAGAGGGAGTGACGCTGATGAAGAAAAAAAGAAGGACCAGAAATCTGAAGGACGGTCCGTTATTCATAATAATTGTTGCATATTCGTCTTTTTCTTTGGATTATTAGAAAAACAGTTATTAACGATTATGTCGCTATGTCATCACGACTTCGTGTTGTTACGTTTAAATCTGTCAGGTTAAAAAAAAAATCTATAACATCGTCTGCCTTAAAGCGAATTGTATAAAAGTAAGTAAAAATTGAAATTCTCGAAATTGCACCTGCCGCGATGATATATCTTAACAGGTAATAACAACCGCATGTGGAAATTTAGGATTACGTGAAGCAAAACTGAAAATGACAAATGAAAGCGTAGATTTCTATCATCAGATTAGTCATGCAAATGTAAAGAATTAACAGCATTAGAATTTAATTCTTACGCCATTTCTTCTTTAGGCATTATTAATCGCTTATAGGCCCATCCTCTCCTCTCTCTCACCTACCCCCTTCTTCTTCCACATCTAAGAAGTATTATTTATCGCTTATAGTCATATACTCTCCGATCCTTCCCACACCCACCTCCTCCCTTCTACTCTCTCTCTCCTTCTCTTACATTAAAGTAGTATTTATCACTTACAGTCTCATCCTCTTCTCCCTACACCGCCTCTTCCTACTCCTCCTTATTCGTCAAAGTATTATTCATCGTTTATAGACCCCATCCGCTCCTCTCCCTCCACCTTCTTCTTCATTTTCTTCTACCTCCTATAAGAAGTGTTATTCATCGTTTATAGTCCCATCCTCTCCTCTCCCTCCTCCTCCTTCTTCCTCCTCAAAGAAGTGTTATTCATCGTTTATCATCCCATCCTTTCCTCTCTCTCTCTCCTTCTTCTTCATTTTCTTCTTCCTCATCTAAGAAGTGTTATTCATCGTTTATAGTCCCATTCTCTCCTTTCTCTCCTCTCCCTCCTCCTCCTTCTTCCTCCTCTAAGAAGTGTTATTCATCGTTTATGGTCCCATTCTCTCCTCTGCCTCCTCCTCCTTCTTCCTCCCTCTAAGAAGTGTTATTCATCGTTTATACTCCCATTCTTCCTCTCCTCCTCCTCCTCCTTCCTCCTCTAAGAAGTGTTATTCATCGTTTATGGTCCCATTCTCTCCTCTCCTCCTCCTCCTCCTTCCTCCCTCTAAGAAGTGTTATTCATCGTTTATGGTCCCATTCTCTCCTTTCTCTCCTCTCCCCCTCCTTCTTCCTCCTCTAAAAAGTGTTATTCATCGTTTATGGTCCCATTCTCTCCTTTCTCTCCTCTCCCTCCTCCTCCTCCTTCCTCCTCTAAGAAGTGTTATTCATCGTTTATAGTCCCATTCTCTCCTTTCTCCTCTCCTCCTCCTCCTCCTTCCTCCTCTAAAAGTGTTATTCATCGTTTATAGTCCCATTCTCTCCTTTCTCTCCTCTCCTTCCTCCTCCTCCTTCCTCCTCTAAGAAGTGTTATTCATCGTTTATAGTCCCATTCTCTCCTTTCTCTCCTCTCCTTCCTCCTCCTCCTTCCTCCTCTAAGAAGTGTTATTCATCGTTTATGGACCCATTCTATCCTCACCCTCCTCCTCCTCCTTCCTCCTCTAAGAAGTGTTATTCATCGTTTATGGTCCCATTCTCTCCTTTCTCTCCTCTCCCTCCTCCTCCTTCTTCCTCCTCTAAGAAGTGTTATTCATCGTTTATGGTCCCATTCTCTCCTCTCCCTCCTCCTCCTTCTTCCTCCTCTAAGAAGTGTTATTCATCGTTTATGGTCCCATTTCTCCTTTTCTCCTCTCCCCCTCCTCCTTCTTCCTCCTCTAAGAAGTGTTATTCATCGTTTATAGTCCCATTCTCTCCTTTCTCCTCTCCTCCTCCTCCTCCTTCCTCCTCTAAGAAGTGTTATTCATCGTTTATAGTCCCATTCTCTCCTTTCTCTCCTCTCCCTCCTCCTCCTCCTTCCTCCTCTAAGAAGTGTTATTCATCGTTTATAGTCCCATTCTCTCCTTTCTCTCCTCTCCTTCCTCCTCCTCCTTCCTCCTCTAAGAAGTGTTATTCATCGTTTATAGTCCCATTCTCTCCTTTTCTCTCCTCTCCTCCTCCTCCTCCTTCCTCCTCTAAGAAGTGTTATTCATCGTTTATAGTCCCATTCTCTCCTTTCTCCTCTCTCCCTCCTCCTCCTCCTTCCTCCTCTAAGAAGTGTTATTCATCGTTTATAGTCCCATTCTCTCCTTTCTCTCCTCTCCTTCCTCCTCCTCCTTCCTCCTCTAAGAAGTGTTATTCATCGTTTATGGTCCCATTCTCTCCTCTCCCTCCTCCTCCTCCTTCCTCCTCTAAGAAGTGTTATTCATCGTTTATAGTCCCATTCTCTCCTTTCTCTCCTCTCCTTCCTCCTCCTCCTTCCTCCTCTAAGAAGTGTTATTCATCGTTTATACTCCCATTCTCTCCTCTCCCTCCTCCTCCTCCTTCCTCCTCTAAGAAGTGTTATTCATCGTTTATGGTCCCATTCTCTCTCCTCCTCCTCCTCCTCCTTCCTCCTCTAAGAAGTGTTATTCATCGTTTATGGTCCCATTCTCTCCTTTCTCTCCCTCTCCCCTCCTCCTTCTTCCTCCTCTAAGAAGTGTTATTCATCGTTTATAGTCCCATTCTCTCCTTTCTCTCCTCCCTCCTCCTCCTCCTTCCTCCTCTAAGAAGTGTTATTCATCGTTTATAGTCCCATTTCTCTCCTTCCTCTCTTCCTCCTCCTCCTCCTTCCTCCTCTAAAAGTGTTATTCATCGTTTATAGTCCCATTCTCTCCTTTTCTCCTCTCCTCCTCCTCCTCCTTCCTCCTCTAAGAAGTGTTATTCATCGTTTATAGTCCCATTCTCTCCTTTCTCTCTCTCCCTCCTCCTCCTCCTTCCTCCTCTAAGAAGTGTTATTCATCGTTTATAGTCCCATTCTCTCCTTTCTCTCCTCTCCTTCCTCCTCCTCCTTCCTCCTCTAAGAAGTGTTATTCATCGTTTATAGTCCCATTCTCTCCTTTCTCTCCTCTCCTTCCTCCTCCTCCTTCCTCCTCTAAGAAGTGTTATTCATCGTTTATGGACCCATTCTATCCTCACCCTCCTCCTCCTCCTTCCTCCTCTAAGAAGTGTTATTCATCGTTCCTGGTCCCATTCTCTCCTTTCTCTCTTCTCCCTCCTCCTCCTTCTTCCTCCTCTAAGAATTGTTATTCATCGTTTATGGTCCCATTCTCTCCTCTCCCTCCTCCTCCTCCTTCCTCCTCTAAGAAGTGTTATTCATCGTTTATGGTCCCATTCTCTCACCTCTCCTCCTCCTCCTTCTTCTTCCTCCTCTAAGAAGTGTTATTCATCGTTTATAGTCCCATTCTCTCCTCCCTCCTCCTCCTTCTTCCTCCTCTAAGAAGTGTTATTCATCGTTTATAGTCCCATTCTCTCCTCTCCTCCTCCCTCCTTCTTCCTCCTCTAAGAAGTGTTATTCATCGTTTATAGTCCCATTCTCTCCTTTCTCCTCCTCCTTCCTCCTCCTCCTTCCTCCTCTAAAAGTGTTATTCATCGTTTATAGTCCCATTCTCTCTTTCTCTTCTCCCTCCTCCTCCTCCTTCCTCCTCTAAGAAGTGTTATTCATCGTTTATGGTCCCATTCTCTCCTTTCTCTCCTCTCCCCCTCCTCCTTCTTCCTCCTCTAAGAAGTGTTATTCATCGTTTATAGTCCCATTCTCTCCTTTCTCTCCTCTCCCTCCTCCTCCTCCTTCCTCCTCTAAGAAGTGTTATTCATCGTTTATGGTCCCATTCTATCCTCTCTCCTCCTCCTCCTCCTTCCTCCTCTAAGAAGTGTTATTCATCGTTTTTGGTCCCTTTCTCTCTTTTCTCTCCTCTCCTCCTCCTCCTTCTTTCTCCTCTAAGAAGTGTTATTCATCGTTTATGGTCCCATTCTCTCTCTCTCCCTCCTCCTCCTCCTTCCTCCTCTAAGAAGTGTTATTCATCTTTTTTATAGTCTCCTTTTCTCCTCTCCCTCCTCCTCCTTCTTCCTCCTCTAAGAAGTGTTATTCATCGTTTATAGTCATTCTCCTCTCCTCCTCCTCCTCCTCCTTCCTCCTCCTCTAAGAAGTGTTATTCATCGTTTATGGTCCCATTCTCCTTTCTCTCCTCTCCTTCCTCCTCCTCCTTCCTCCTCTAAGAAGTTTTATTCATCGTTTATGGTCCCATTCTATCCTCATCCTCCTCCTCCTTCTTCCTCCTCTAAGAAGTGTTATTCATCGTTTATGGTCCCATTCTCTCCTTTTCTCCTCTCCCTCCTCCTCCTTTATTTCCTCCTCTAAGAAGTGTTATTCATCGTTTATGGTCCCATTCTCCTCTGCCTCCTCCTCCTCCTTCCTCCTCTAAGAAGTGTTATTCATCGTTTATGGTCCCATTCTCTCCTTTCTCTCCTCTCCCTCCTCCTCCTTCTTCCTCCTCTAAGAAGTGTTATTCATCGTTTATAGTCCCATTCTCTCCTCTGCCTCCTCCTCCTCCCTTCCTCCTCTAAGAAGTGTTATTCATCGTTTATGGTCCCATTCTCTCATTTTTCTCCTCTCCCTCCTCCTCCTCCTCCCTCCTCTAAGAAGTGTTATTCATCGTTTATAGTCCCATTCTCTCCTTTCTCTCCCTCCTTCCTCCTCCTTCCTCCTCTAAGAAGTGTTATTCATCGTTTATGGTCCCATTCTATCCTTTCCTCACCTCCTCCTCCTCCTTCCTCCTCTAAGAAGTGTTATTCATCGTTTATGGTCCCATTCTCTCCTTTCTCTCCTCTCCTCCTCCTTCCTTCTTTTTCTCCTCTAAGAAGTGTTATTCATCGTTTATGGTCCCATTCTCCCTCCTCCTCCTTCTTCCTCCTCTAATAACGTGTTTTCATCGTTCCTCCATTCTATCTTCCTCCTCCTCCTCCTTCCTCCTCTGTTTTTATTCATCGTTTATAGTCCCATTCTCTTTCTTCTCTCCTCCTCCTCCTCCTTCCTCCTCTAAGAAGTGTTATTCATCGTTTATGGTCCCATTCTCTCCTTTTCTCCTCTCCTTCCTCCTCCTCCTTCCTCCTCTAAGAAGTGTTATTCATCGTTTATAGTCCCATTCTCTCCCTTTCTCTCCTCTCCTTCCTCCTCCTCCTTCCTCCTCTAAGAAGTGTTATTCATTTTTTTATGGACCCATTCTATCCTCACCCTCCTCCCTCCTTCCTCCTCTAAGAAGTGTTATTCATCGTTTATGGTCCCATTCTCTCCTTTCTCTCCTCTCCCTCCTCCTCCTTCTTTCTCCTCTAAGAAGTGTTATTCATCGTTTATGGTCCCATTCTCTCCTCTCCCTCCTCCTCCTCCTTCCTCCTCTAAGAAGTGTTATTCATCGTTTATGGACCCATTCTATCTCACCCTCATCCTCCTCCTTCCTCTATTCTAAGAAGTGTTATTCATCGTTTATAGTCCCATTCTCTCCTTTCTCTCCTCTCCTTCCTCCTCCTCCTTCCTCCTCTAAGAAGTGTTATTCATCGTTTATGGACCCATTCTATCCTCACCCTCCTCCTCCTCCTTCCTCCTCTAAGAAGTGTTATTCATCGTTTATGGTCCCATTCTCTCCTTTCTCCTCCTCTCCCCTCCTCCTCCTTCTTTCTCCTCTAAGAAGTGTTATTCATCGTTTATGGTCCCATTCTCTCTCCTCTCCTCCTCCTTCTTCCCTCTAAGAAGTGTTATTCATCGTTTATGGTCCCATTCTCTCCTTTTCTCCTCTCCCTCCTCCTCCTTCTTCCTCCTCTAAGAAGTGTTATTCATCGTTTATAGTCCCATTCTCTCCTCTGCCTCCTCCTCCTCCTTCCTCCTCTAAGAAGTGTTATTCATCGTTTATGGTCCCATTCTCTCCTTTCTCTCCTCTCCCTCCTCCTCCTCCTTCCTCCTCTAAGAAGTGTTATTCATCGTTTATAGTCCCATTTCTCTCCTCTGCCTCCTCCTCCTCCTTCCTCCTCTAAGAAGTGTTATTCATCGTTTATGGTCCCATTCTCTCCTTTCTCTCCTCTCCCTCCTCCTCCTCCTTCCTCCTCTAAGAAGTGTTATTCATCGTTTATAGTCCCATTCTCTCCTCTGCCTCCTCCTTCTTCTTCCTCCTCTAAGAAGTGTTATTCATCGTTTATGGTCCCATTCTCTCCTTTCTCTCCTCTCCTCCTCCTCTTCCTTCCTCCTCTAAGAAGTGTTATTCATCGTTTCTTATAGTCCCATTCTCTCCTCTGCCTCCTCCTCCTTCTTCCTCCTCTAAGAAGTGTTATTCATCTTTATGGTCCCATTCTCTCTTTTCTCTCCTCTCCTCCTCCTCCTCCTTCCTCCTCTAAGAAGTGTTATTCATCGTTTATAGTCCCATTCTCTCCTCTGCCTCCTCCTCCTTCTTCCTCCTCTAAGAAGTGTTATTCATCGTTTATGGTCCCATTCTCTCCTTTCTCTCCTCTCCCTCCTCCTCCTCCTTCCTCCTCTAAGAAGTGTTATTCATCGTTTATAGTCCCATTCTCTCCTCTGCCTCCTCCTCCTTCTTCCTCCTCTAAGAAGTGTTATTCATCGTTTATGGTCCCATTCTCTCCTCTCCCTCCTCCTCCTCCTTCCTCCTCTAAGAAGTGTTATTCATCGTTTATAGTCCCATTCTCTCCTCTGCCTCCTCCTCCTTCTTCCTCCTCTAAGAAGTGTTATTCATCGTTTATGGTCCCATTCTCTCCTTTCTCTCCTCTCCTCCTCCTCCTCCTTCCTCCTCTAGAAGTGTTATTCATCGTTTATAGTCCCATTCTCTCCTCTGCCTCCTCCTCCTTCTTCCTCCTCTAAGAAGTGTTATTCATCGTTTATGGTCCCATTCTCTCCTTTTCTCCTCTCTTCCTCCTCCTCCTCCTTCCTCCTCTAAGAAGTGTTATTCATCGTTTATAGTCCCATTCTCTCCTCTGCCTCCTCCTCCTTCTTCCTCCTCTAAGAAGTGTTATTCATCGTTTATAGTCCCATTCTCTCCTCTCCCTCCTCCTCCTTCTTCCTCCTCTAAGAAGTGTTATTCATCGTTTATGGTCCCATTCTCTCCTTTCTCTCCTCTCCCTCCTCCTCCTTCTTCCTCCTCTAAGAAGTGTTATTCATCGTTTATGGTCCCATCCTCTCCTCTCCCTCCTCCTCCTACTTCTTCCTCCTATATGAAGTGTTATTATCTGCAAACCCTCTTTCCTCATTATGTGACACTCAAATTTCAACTGCATCTATTTATTCTAACGATAAGTGTCTTTTTTCTTCTATTTTATTGAAAACTTCCCAGTTTCTCACATGTTTTGTCCATGGTATTCGCTGCCTCCTCTTCATATATGATGAAATTTTCCAAATATTCACTGTCAAATAGGACAGGTATTAAATTGAAATTCAGCACACTTCTTTGTTTCTAACGAAATGTTCCTGCTTTTTAATACGTTTGATCAGCTTTTCGCTAATCCAATAGTTACTTCGGATTTCGATGTCATATTTTCCGCCGTTTGTTAAAACAGTTAACATACTTTTAAATTTCTGTACTTGATAGATTTTAGATCTCCAGTTCTTAGGATTAGGCTCCTCTATCTTCAAAACTGAAACAAAAATAAATAAATAAATGATGACAAATTAAACTAAAGCGTGAATAGTTAGTTCTCAAAGTGATTTTTCACGAGTTTTCTCAACATTAGTTAAAAAAAAAACGACTGGACAGCTAATTATTTTCTAGGAATTAATAATAATAATCGACCTTCATGGCAGCTGACATAATCTACCTTCATGGCAGATGACATAATGAACCTTCATTGCAGATGACCTAATCGACCTTCATGGTAGCTGAACTAATCGACCTTCATGGCAGCTGACCTAATCAACCTTCATGGCAGCTGACATAATCGACCTTCATGGCAGATGACCTAATCGACCTTCATGGCAGCTGACATAATCGACCTTCCTGGCAGATGACCTAAGCAACCTTCATGGCAGCTGACATAATCGACCTTCATGGCAGGTGACATAATCGACCTTCATGGCAGCTGACCTAATGAACCTTCCCGGCAGATGACCTAATGAACCTTCATGGCAGCTGACATAATCGACCTTCCTGGCAGATGACCTAAGCAACCTTCATGGCAGCTGACCTAATCGACCTTCATGGCAGCTGACCTAATGAACCTTCCTGGCAGATGACCTAATGAACCTTCATGGCAGCTGACCTAATCGACCTTCTTGGCAGCTGATCTAAACACCCTTCATGGCAGCTGACCTAATGAACATTCATGGCAGCTGACATAGTCGACCTTCATGGCAGCTGACCTAATCATCCTTCATGGCAGCTGACCTAATCGACCTTCATGGCAGCTGACCTAATCAACCTTCATTGCAGATGACCTAATCAACCTTCATGGCAGCTGACATAATCAAGCTTCATGGCAGCTGACCTAATCGACCTTCATGGCAGCTGACCTAATCAACCTTCATGGCAGCTGACCTAATCAACCTTCATGGCAGCTGACATAATCAACCTTCATGGCAGCTGACCTAATCGACCTTCATGGTAGCTGACCTAATCGACCTTCATGGTAGCTGAACTACTCGACCTTCATGGCAGCTGACCTAATCAACCTTCATGGCAGCTGACCTAATCGACCTTCATGGCAGCTGACATAATCGACCTTCATGGCAGCTGACCTAATCAACCTTCATGGCAGCTGACCTAATGAACCTTCATTGAAGATGACCTAATCAACCTTCATGGAAGCTGACCTAATCAACCTTCATGGCACCTGACCTAATCAACCTTCATGGCAGCTGACCTAATCGACCTTCGTGGCAGCTGACATAATCAAGCTTCATGGCAGCTGACATAATCGACCTTCATGGCAGCTGACATAATCGACCTTCATGGCAGCTGACCTAATGAACCTTCCTGGCAGATGACCTAATGAACCTTCATGGCAGCTGACATAATCGACCTTCCTGGCAGATGACCTAAGCAACCTTCATGGCAGCTGACCTAATCGACCTTCATGGCAGCTGACATAATCGACCTCATGGCAGCTGACCTAATGAACCTTCCTGGCAGATGACCTAATGAACCTTCATGGCAGCTGACCTAATCGACCTTCATGGCAGCTGACCTAATCGACCTTCATGGCAGCCGACATAATCGACCTTCATGGCAGCTGACCTTATGAACCTTCCTGGCAGATGACCTAATGAACCTTCATGGCAGCTGACATAATCGACCTTCATGGCAGCTGACCTAATCAACCTTCATGGCAGATGACCTAATCGACCTTCATGGCAGCTGACATAATCAACCTTTATGGCAGCTGACCTAAGCAACTTCATTGCAGCTGACATAATCGACTTTCATGGCAGCTGACATAATCGATTTAGCTGCAGGGCTTGACGGAAATTTGTCTTAGTTGACAGTCAAACTTTTTCGGGGCTCCACTCCGGTTTTCTGTCTGGATTGACTTCCATAGCTTCCATTTTCCTGGGTAAGACGATAAACTACATACGACAGCAAGGCTTCTGATCAGGAGATTTAATTGCTAGTGTTCCCCGGTCGTCCCTGACCCGAGGTGGTAGCATTTGTTAGCGTCTCAGCTATGGGAAAATAGTTGATTCCCAAACTGGGATCAAAAAATTATGAAAGTGTAAAAATGAGTTTTAATACCAGAAATACTTTGTAAAAATTTATTACCAGCAATACATTTTTTTAAAATATTACCAGTGATACATCTAGATGGAAAAATATTACCAGAAATAGATTTAAAAAAAAAATATTAGCAGCAATACATTTTTGAAAAAAAATACTACCAGCGATACAATTTGAATGAAAAATATTACCAGAAATAGATTTTTGAAGGAAAAAATATTGCCACCATTAAATAATCCATTGGGGTTGATATGCCGTAAACCAAACCAAACCAAACCAAACCAATAAAATAATTTATTGTACCTTTTTGACGGTACTAAAACCGAAACTATTATTTGATAAAAATGAACAAGAGCAGAAAATGCAACGCTGATGAAAATGAAAGCGAAAACGGAAAGTAAAAATTAGACAAGTCATCTTCAGTTTCAATGTACAAAAAACAAATAATTATTACAAATTATTATCTAGAAAAAGTTGAAAGAAATAATCTTAAACAATACATAACTTCAAATAAATATAATATTCATAGTGTGTATAAAAATAAAATAAAAAATGTAATAATTGCAATTTATATTCAATAATTACATATAATTGAATCAATATTAACGTTTTTTCAGTTCAACTTAAAATTAGTTATGTTTTTGTGCTTCTAAAAACAAAGGAAACAAGTAGAATAATGAAGAGAAGATATAGTCTCCCCCCCCCCCAAAAAAAAATTGACGTCATTTTGTCGTCCATTGGCTAAAAACAGACAGTGCGGATTTATCTCAGTGAGAATTTACCAGTAAGATAGTTCGGCTCTGTGATGTTGAAATGTTTGGTTTGGTTTGGTTTGGTTTTGATTTCGTGTGGTTTGGCTTGGTTTGGTTTTGATTTCGTGTGGTTTGTTTTGGTTTGGTTTTGATTTCGTGTGGTTTGGTTTTGATTTCGTGTGGTTTGGTTTCGTTTATTGTAAGGCATATCAACCTTAATGGGTTATTTAATACCAACAAGATTTTTATTGCTGGTAATATTTTTTTATCTATCTATCTATCTATCTATCTATCTATATATATATATATATATATATATATATATATCCAAGTATATAATTGGTGTATACGGAATGAATTCCAATAACCAATAAAATTTGATATTAAAATTAAAAACTGCCAATTTCAAAATCCAAATTTAATCACTATTAAGTTTAAAAATTATAAAATTACTGAGTACATTTTTATCATATAATTTAATAATTATTGGTTAGAATAAATTCTTTTTAATATTACCCGTATTTTAAAGATCTGAATAGCTATTATAACATGATTTCGTTGTCAAGCTTTTGAATCTTCCTATACTTGGGTTTTGATTGGTCATTCTAGCTTTTATAACAATGTTTTCCCCTAGCGTAGGATCCTTAATTAATTTGAAACTTTTAAAACCATTTATTTTATCTTCAACATCATCACTTGATAAGACACCGAGGGTGTTGAAACAAAATGGCTATTTTTGTAGTGATTTTGTAACATATTTATGTTATAATTTATTTTTTTAAAAAAATATATATATATATATATATATATATATATATATATATATATATATATATTGTTTTGGTTTGGATTTGTTTTACGACGTATCAACCTCAATGGATTATTTAATGCAAACAAGATTTTTATTGCTGGTACTATTTTTTATCTATCTATCTATCTATCTATCTATCTATCTATCTATCTATCTATCTCTCTCTCTCTCTCTATATATATATATATATATATATATATATTATTGTTTTTGGTTTGGATTTTGTTTTATTTAATGCCAACAAGATTTTTATTGCTAGCAATATTTTCCAAAAATGTATTACTGGTAGTATTTTTTTTTCAAAAATGTATTGCTCGTAATATTTTTCCTTCAAAAATTCAATGCCGGTAATATTTTTACAAAAATATATAGCCATATTTTTTTAATAGTTTAATATTAACAGCTATACATTTTTTTTAAATGTATAGCTTTTAATATTATTTCAATATAAACTGCAGCACGAAGAGCATACACATTTTCAAATTGCGATCCATATTTATAATTATCCTTTCCCATCCATCACAAAATATTTTCGATTGGGTTTCGATCTGGAGAGCGTTGTGGATAGCATCATTGTCCTGCTGGAAAATCCAGTTTTCTCCACATAGATGAGGGCCTTCAGTAATTAGCGATGACTTTCTTAACATGTTAATGTAACTAGAAGCTGTTTGACGACCTTTTACCTCCTGTAACTGAAGAGTTCCATTGTATGAAACCATAATTGAGCCACCTCCACCGTCTCGTATTGAGAAAATTTCTTTTGGGTCATCTTTTGCATGCCAGTAACATTGAAACCCGTCTGGGCCATCAAGATTGAATTTTTCCTCCTCTGACAACAAAACTTTCTTCCATTTATCCACATCCCAAGTTTGATAATCGGAAGCAAATTTTAAACGGGAGGTTTTATGGCGAAGAAGAACGCGAGGCCTCTGCAGGCTTTTTAAGTTCTTAAACCTTTTCTTATTTAAATGCCGTCAAATTGTTCAAGAGCTGCATTCAGCATCTGTATTTGCTTTTATCTGATTTAATGTTAGGCATGAATCTCTCTTACCCTCTCTCCCAATGCGTCTGTCTAGAGATGGTGAGATTTTATTGGGGCAACTGCTTGAGTTTTTAGAAGCATACCCATCCGGATTTTTAATGAAGTCAGCAATGGCAGTTCTGCTACGGCCAATTTCATTTGCAACCCCTCGTTACAAAGGACCACGTCTTTGAAGTTCAACAAACCTGCCCTATTCGAACTTTACTAAAATTTTACCCATCGCCATTTTTAAGATCTGAAATTTACTACCGGAAATAAGCTACGTAGATGGCTACATGTCTAAAGCTATGAGCACACTGACTCGTTCTAAAATTTTTGTCCAGTAATTTGGTTTTTCTTTTTTTTTTTTCCACACATGGTCTTATCTTTATGACCGACCCCAAAAAATCTTTTTGCAATGTTTGTTTAAATTAATGAATTAAAACCTTAAAATTTGTTTGTTGATAAACTACATTTTCTAATTAAATGTAAATGTTTCGCAAATATATTTTGAATAAAGTAACAGTATTTTACATATATTTTTTAAAACCGTTTTGTATCTGGTCTTAAGATTTTGACCAGTGGTGTATATATATATATATATATATATATATATATATATATATATATATATATATATATATATATAACAAACACATATATTATATATACGTATGTGTGTGTATATATGTATGTATGTATATGTATGTATGTATATATATATATATATATATATACTCACACATACGTATAGTGATTTTCTAAGCGTAGATTAGATGTGACACAAGGCCGAAAGTGTGGGGCACCTAGAGAGGATGGAACTCACTATTAAGTCGTAATTGATCTAGCGAGACAAGCTTGCTAACTATTACAACGCCTCAAGGTGCCCTCACACACACACACACACATATATATGTGTGTAAGTGTATATATATATATATATATATATATATATATATATATATATATATGATGTTCTGTATTTGGGTAGCAATCCCTCTTTAACGTAAGTTTCATTAAAAACGACTGACAAGGCACTATGATTAAGCTTTTTATTCAATTTTTCTTGTGTTCTTATAAGGGATTTCTTTTCTGGAATGTTCTTTTTATCCGAACGATTTCGGTTATAGTCCCAGCCATTATCAAGGATGAATTTTATTTTTTACTGACTGTATGGATATATGTATCTTGAATTATGGATATCTTTTAGTTTTCCAACACGGTCAGCACATTTTAGCCGTGTTTATGGTTGATATTACTGAGTGTTAGCTTTTTTCATTTTCATTAATAATGCTTACATTATTTTTAGCCTTTTCTTACATGGGAATGTGGCTGTTATATTTGTATTATCAATCAGTATGTTGCGGACAGATCTTGATGTGTATTTAAATGAGACCTAATTGAGCTACGGTCAGAGAATTTTAACGTACGACTTCTTGTTAGGCATGTTGTATAGACCCAATAGAATTGATGTAATAATGATATATATATATATATATAATAAAAAGGCTTAAACGCTAATATTCCTTGGTCATAATTTATTCCATTGGAATCGTAAATACGATCCAATTCATCAGACCTACAAATTCAAAAAGAATTTGTAGGTCTGATGAATTGGATCGTATTTACGATTCCAAATGGAATAAATTATGGTCATGAAATATTAGTGTTTAAGCCTTTTTATTATATCCTTACTCTGTCCCGGACACTGAGTTCTACCTGGATTCTATCCTCGTGGAATTTCTTTTTTTATACAAAATATATATGTATGTGTATGCATGTATGTATATATATATTTATATATTTGAGATATATGATTGCATATGTGTGTATATTTACCACTAATATCATATATATATATATATATATATATATATATATATATATATAATTATTTAAGAAAAATTTTAAAAAATAAAATAATTATAATTTAAGCTCTACTTCTGTATGGAGCACTTTCTTTTTAAATAAAAACAAAAATACTAAAGAACCCTGGATTATTTACCTAACGTGTTCTTGCCTATTTTTCTACATACCTGCACACACACACACACACGCGCACACACACACACACACCACATCACACACACACAGACACACTTATATATATATATATATATATATATATATATATATATATATATATATATATGAATGAATGACTGACTACGTAACTTTTGATCGCATGGATGAACAAGAAAATTAATAATATAGTTTAGACTCTTGAAAAATAAATTTTAAAATCTGAAATTTCCTACTGGAAATGAGCTACGTAGATGTCTACAAGTCTGAAGCTATGTGCACACTAACCGTCCATTTTGCGACGGATTCTGAACAACCTAAAATATTGACATGCGTACATAAGTGTTGCTTTCTTAATTTAAAAGAAAAATATGGTGGGGAGAAGCTCAGGAGTGATCACAAAACAGTATTCTTAACTTAGATAACTAAGTCAAAACAGCTTGTAATCGTTAGCTTACAAGAAACTCGCCCGTTTCATTTCCTTATCCAGACCCCACACCATCGGCACATAAATCCGATGATCTCTCCTTCTCGTCCAGTTTCGAAAAGCACTGAATAACAGAAGACAGTTACACGACGAACGCAAATATGTTTATCTGCTTTAAAAGAATTCGTTCTTGCTATTTCTTTCTTTTCTTTTCATTTTTTTCTTTTCTTTTTTTTCTATTTTTTTCTTCTTTTTTTGCTTTGTTCGTGCAGAGCAAAATTGGCATGTCGGCTTGTTATGGTGACATTCCAAATGACGTCAGACATCTTTAATGGACGAACGTTATGTTGAAATAATGAAAGCAATAATATTTTGAGAAGAATAGCGAACACGATTATCCGTGTGAAAAGAAATATATCTTGAACAAGAATAGAAATATGAGTCAAGTGAAAAACACGTAAATATAGCCGTATAAGCACAATTATATATATATATATATATATATATATATATATATATATATATATATATAATGGAACTCCCCCACGTCGGTTTCAACGTATGAGTATCTGACAGCTTATTGATTCAGTTATGAAAGTTTGTGCGATAATCTTAAGTGGCATTTAAGGCCTGCTAGTGATTTACAAAGGAGGCCACCTATGGAGCAAGTGTGAGGATTGTATATATATATATATATATATATATATATATATATATATATATATATATATATATATATATATATGTATGTATGTATGTATGTGTGTGTGCAGAAATTAAGGGTTAGAGTGGATAGAACGTTCGCTTTTTCTCACCATGAGGCCCGGGTTCGAATCTCACCATTTGACTTCCTGATGTTATCGAACTGGAAAAGTTTGGAAAGTTCCTGAAATCCATACCACGGGTTGACCCAAGCCTTGTGAGTAAAAAATGAGTAGAGGGAATCCTTGTGGGCCGTCGAGAGCTGTGCTAGCAGTAAGACACAAGTCATTGTGACCAAGCTTTTGAGTGTGTTGGCCTTGTTCAGATTCTTGATCACGCAAGATAACAGAAACTGTAACAAAGGTCTGCTCAACATAGTTGCAATATAAACCACTAGTTGACTCTGGGGGTGTTGAACAAACACAAATGTACCTGAGCGAGGCGTCTGACAGGAATATGCTATATATATATATATATATATATATCCCATATTTCTTGCGCATAATACGATCAAATTTGTACGTAAATTGGAGGAAAAAATGCGGGACGTATTATACACAAGTACACATTTAAGAAACTTATTTGGAACAGCATGATTGTAAATCCACCCTGTTAATACAATCAAACCATATAATAATTATCAAGGTGTATTTATTTAGATATTTGTAGTGACAAGAGAGGTAAATCAAGATAAGTCAGTAAATTTATGAATGATTAATTCCCTTAGTGGTTTTAGTAATTTGTACAAATGAAATATTTACCTGCATTTAGACAAAAATTATTTCCTGAGAAAAATTAACCGTGTAATTAATCAGTTCCTTTTCTTTTTATAAAATTGCAGTCATATTTGTTAAAGCCTATCATGTGGGGCACTCAGATACATTTTTCTTCTTGATCGTCTTGCTTTAACTTAGTCTTGCAATATACTTTGTCTTCCTGTTACTAATCATTTTTTCTGTGAGATATTTCCATTTCACTGATATATTAAACATATACAATTTTTAATATGAAATGATATTGAGCAAAATGCGATTTGTATAACAGGAATCATAGATGTCATTGAACGTCTAAAATTTATAAAGGAAATGGATTAATTAAACGGTTCATTGGCCTTCATTTTACTTGTGAGGTCTTTATTGAATCTCAGTACATTCTTTCAAGACTTCGGTTTCATAGCATCTCGCTATTAAAATTTTTTAACAAATCGCCGTCATTTTTGACGGCACAGGTTGCCTACTCTTATATATAAAGTACAGTGTATGTTTGTGTCGAAGCAATTCCTCCGCTCCAGGTTTGCCAGATTAAATATATATATACAGGGTGTTTCAAAAAATTTGATATCATTTCGCAATCTAATAACTTTGTTAGATCTCCTTCAAATTTTAATAGCATCTTTATGTTTAATGTTTGTTTTATGTTTTTATGTCTTTATGTTTTGTGTTTTTCTTATTTGTATTTTTATGTTCTTTAATCTTTTTCTTTACAGGTATAAAAATGCTATTTACTAGAAGAGAAAAAGCGTTTTGTGTGTTGGAGTTTGCTAGAACACAGTCAAACAAGACTGTGCAGCGTGCATTTATGAGAGAGTTCTCTAGAAAGTCACCAACAGGAATGCAGATTTGGAGATGGCATAAAAAGTTCAAAGAGGAAGGCTGTCTGTGCAGAGCAAAAGGATCCGGACGGCCACAAACTTCACATTTGTGAAATCGTTCACATAATCCACATGCTTTTGAATTTCCCATTCAGATTTGGAAGAATAAATCTTATGATCTTCAACATTAATACTTTTTAATTTCATTTGCCTTAATCATGTACTTTCTGTGATATTTACATCTCAAAGGATATCAAATTTTTTGAAACACCCTGTATATATATATATATATATATTAATATATTATACTAGCCATTATCGTTGGTTTCATAGTTTAAGGAGATTAACCCTTAATTACTTTTTGTATCCAAAGTTGCAGCTAGCTCAAAATTTTAAGCAACCTTAAAATCAGCATTATCGGGTTCTATGTAAACCCAGTGTCTACTTTACAACATACTTGCTATAGAGCTTAATATCTATTTTATATACTATCTAATTCTAGGCAATATCACTCTTCAGGTTTATTTAATTTGCATATTAATTTTTAAAATTTTTATTTCATTAATTAACTGTCCCTCATTACTGTTTTTTTATTCAATTTTCATATCAAAAATAGTTCTGTTTAGAAATATCGTCTTATATAGTGCAGAAAAGTGTTTGAAATGTGCATTTTACTTGGCCATCAAGAAGTTGGTATCTATTTGTAAAACTTTCCTTAATTATAACAAGCTAATTTATGAATGAAAAGTTTGTTTCAAAGATTTCAAGTAGTGAATATATCTTACTTTGCGAAGCGAAAGCGAGCAGGCGAAACCTGCTAATAGATAATGTTGTGTCGGAAACCTACCACCCCTCTTGAAGATGAACTTGTCTGCGTCTGTGAACAAAGACTTTAAATAGTGGCATGTCAGTTGACATTGGGGGAAGACAGATAGACAGAGAAGGTAAGACCTCCGAGTCTAGCCGAGTCGTGATACATTCTTTGACTGTAAGCGACGTCTGTCGAACTCTCTGCGTTAGCAGAGAGGAACCTGGACGAAGCTTTGCCGAAGGGCAAGGTTTTGTCCGGGGAGGTAGACAGGGCCTGAACCCATCTAGGCGGGTTCAAAGCTATATTTTTGGCCGAGCCTACGGGCTTGGGAATACCCACATTAAAACCGGCCTTGTGCCATATTCGGTTCTCGTGGGTGGATCGATAAATACCAAGACAGATAGACCTAGAGGGTAAAGACCTCCGAGTCTATCTGAGTCGTGATACATTCTTTGACTGTAAGCGACGTCTGTCGAACTCTCTGCTAACGCAGAGAGGAACCCGGACGAAGCTTTGCCGAAGGGCAAGGTTTCGTCCGGGGAGGTAGACAGGGCCTGAACCCGTCTAGGCGGGTTCAAAGGCTATATTTTTGGCCGAGCCTACGGGCTCGGAGATACCCACATTAATACGGCCTTGTGCCATATTCAATACTCATGGGTGGATCGATAAATACTAAGACAGATAGACAGAGAAGTTCTTAGCTGAGCTAGTTATTGACTACTCAGGCGGTTTCTGTACCTTTTTCCCAACCTATTAAAACCCTTTTTATTGTTACGTGTTATTTGGCGTTTGTCTCTACTAACCCCAAATCAACATCATAATAGATAATAAAACAAATAGTAGGCAGGTGTTAATAACATTTGTTTACAAAAAGGTGTTTGATATGTCGGCCATATTTGTTCTTCGCGGATCAGTGTAATTAATTGAACGTCTTTTTGTCTCAGTTTTGCTCACAAAATAAACTTTGTTTATATACGGAATTTTCTTCTTTTTTATGAAGTTTTCTCTCTTCCATCTTAATGAAAGACAATATATTTTTATTCTATTTTCATAATTTATTAATATATAGAAATATAATAAAGTCATATCAAACAAAAAATCATGATAGATTATTTATATTATTTACATGGTTCGGAATGTTGTCTTAATCTTTATTACCATATTCAAGACGTTTCGGCCGTTGTACGCTCCGGCCTTCTTCAGGTGATTAGAAATTTCGAACTGGACCCTTTATTTTGTCCACTGGGGTGACTGTTCTAGTTCCACTTTCTTTCAACGTAGCAGGGTCCAAAATCTCAGTTCTCAAAACCGAACTATTCGCACATATGATTCCGTCTGTAGTGGTGAAGGACAACTACATATTTAAAAAGAAGCAAAACCAGTACTTATTGCATATATATATATATATATATATATATATATATATATAATCAAGTAATTCATCGAGACTAGAAGAAATCTCAACAGAATACAGAAAACACTAGACTGCCGTTTCGTCTTATATTTGGGACTCATCAGCAGTGCGCATCCACTAACGAGAATTGAAACCCGGACATTGAAGCGTCATACCAACTGTACTAACAGGCCTAGGTGATGAAGAGGTAACGAATTAGACTCGATATAGCCCCGCACGATCACATATTCCGTGAGAGAATTCATCCGAGTTTCCCTTACCCATAGGACTGTGCACCCACGAGCCACGTCTGATCTCCCCAAGCAGTTCCATCCCGAGCATTAGAAGCCGGTTCAAGCAATAATATATACAAGTGACAAAAATTATTAGGAGAAATATCTGATCGAGCGGCGCTATATCGAGTCTAATTCCTGTTGATACTTTTGGTATGACGTTTGCCTGATATCGTAACTGTCCGGGTTTCAATTCTCGGTAGTGGATTCGCACTGTTGATGAGTCCCAAATTAAGGAATATGATTAATTTCACTGTTTAATTAAATAGAGAAATACGAATAGAAACTCAAACACGTGTACCGACTAAAAATAACATTTATAGTAATAAGAAATAATGCCGAACAAAAAAATCCTTTAATATATATATATATATATGTGTGTGTGTGTGTGTGTGTGTATGTGTGTGTGTGTGTGTGTGTGTGTGTGTGTGTGTGTGTGTGTGTGTACAGCGTCCTCAAAGAGGAAATAGAGACTTGAAGCAACAGAAATGTGGTTCTACAGAAAGATGCTGGGAATACCATAGACTGAACATGTGAGCAACGACGAGGTTTTGAAGAGACTAGAAACAAAGAGGAAACATACTTAACATCAGGAAGAAGCAGTTGAAATTTCTGGGTCATGTAATGAGGAAAGAGGGCTTGGAAAATCTGATCCTCACAGGACAGATTAATGGGAAGAGAGACACAGCAAAGCAGCGCGTAACATACTTGACAAGCTTGAGCAAATGGATGGCGAAATAGCGTTAGGGAAAAATAGCATAATGATCAAACTTAAGAACTGCAAGGGACTGGAAAGAGTGGAGAGCCATTACCGCTTACGTCATGAAAGGACACGGCACATAAAAGAAGAAGAAGCCATTATTTGGAAGACATTGGTCTTGTGCTGACATAATAAGGTCTTCTTAAGACCACTGCTTCTAAGCCATTTTCATGGTTTTGACGGACATCGATGCCTGGCTCATCCAGACGCTTTGGGTATTTTCCTTAGTCTTTGGGTATTTTCCAAGTCTTGAGTATCTGTTACATTCAAGGAGTTTCGTATTTTATGCCTTTGTTTAATGACACATTATTGCATTATTTTTATTTCCTTTGATTTCTGGTGTGTAAACATTTCTTTCCGGGTCACGCCCAGAGATCTCAGGTAAAAAATGGCACCATGACATTTTCAACTGAGCAATTAAAACACACACAAATATTTTACATAGGTAAAGCCCTTCGTAAGGTGTTGGCTATACTCATGGGAACAATTTTTTTTTATTTGTTTAACGCATGGGTTTCCAGGAATCCCTTCAATGAATCTACTGGAATCTTTTCCAATCAATCTGAGGGCTCCGACTACAACAGGGATTGTTGATGTTCCCATGTGTAACATTTTTGAGATTTCGATTTCAAGGTCCTTGTATTTTGATAGCTTTTTGAAGATCATCAAAGATACATTGCCATCTGCAGGGATTGCCATATCATTAAGGAGGCATTTTTTTTTTTGTCTATGGTCTCTAATAACAATGTCTGGGCGGTTAGCTTTTCATTATTATTATTATTATTATTATTGTTATTATTATTCCCAGAGGCACAGTCACCTAAGAGACAGAATTGATTTAGCATGGGAATTTATGCTCATTTTAAAATTATGACTAAGCAAGATAGCACCCCCTGCCGGCTCTCTCTCTCTCTCTCTCTCTCTCTCTCTCTCTCTCTCTCTCTCTCTCTCTGCAACAAGAGAAGTAGAGATAGAGAAAGAATGATCTCTCTGTATATACTTGTATCTTCCTTCCTTGAAAAAGAGAAACAGAATTCTCTCTCTCTCTCTCTCTCTCTCTCTCTCTCTCTGTCTCTCACACACACACACACACACACACACACACACAGAGTAATTCTATCTTCTTTCCTTGAAAATGACCAACGGTGTTTGAAAGTAATCGGTATATTACACACAATTACGGCAACAGAGATAGGATTAATCGCTGGTACTTAAATGTGTCCAAAAGAGAATGCGCCGAGGGTGCTTAACTGTTCTTTGTTCCTAATAGTATGTACGTTGAGGATTTGCACTTTAAGGCAAGCCTTGTGCCAGACTCTGCTCGAGTGGTTATGCAGATAAATGTGCACTCGTTTGAATATGTGAACGGGAATTGAATAAAAGAAGAGACTGCATAGACATGCGTGCATCTATGTGTGTCTTTGAATCAGTATGTGTACGTGTGCATTTATTAATGTGCATTAATCTTATTAACTCTGATAACAACGTACGAAAATATGAATTCTTTTTTTATATTTTATTACCTCCATTATCTTCTCTCTCTTTCACTCTATCTTTCATTCTCTCTCTCGATATATATATATATATATATATATATATATATATATATATATATATATATATATATATAAAACTATGGATCAGAGCTGACAAATCTAAAAAAATATTTACAAAATTAATCCCTCGGAATACAACCATCTGATTCAAAATAAAGTCTCTGGTTCTTATAAGGACAACAATTCTAAACACTTAGACTCCATACACAAAGAAACTGCGAAATTAGCATTTAAATATAATATTGCTGATAGAATGGGTACAACTCATCTAAAAGACGCCTACCTACTGTTTAAAGACCATAAACCTGACTTTCAGAATAATCTACAGTCCAGACTAATAAATCCCTCCAAATCAGAATTAGGAATAATTTCTAAAAACATCCTAAAAAGAATAAACACATCTATAATTAAAAAAACACCCGTTAACCCTTTGGAAAGATTCATCAGACACCATTAACTGGTTCCAAAAAATAAAGAATAAAAATAATACTACTTTTATACAACTTGATATCATCGATTTCTACCCCTCAATCTCTAAAGAATTATTAGAAAATAGCTTAAGTTTTGCCAGAATCCACACTGACATTACTGACGAAGAAATAAAAATCATAATGGACTCTAGACAGTCCTTACTAAAACTGAACAACACTACTTGGATTAAAAAAGATAGAGACAATTTTGATGTCCCAATGGGATCTTTTGATTCAGCTCAAATAGCAGACCTAATATGTATATACATTTTAGATATCCTAAGTAGATTCCTTGACCCTCAAAATATAGGACTATACAGAGATGACGGGTTAGTTGCTGTACCTAATACCAATGGTCCGTTAACATCCCAACTACAAAAGAAAATAATTAGAGCCTTCAAATTTCTAGGATTTAGAATCGAGATTTCTTCCAACTTAAAAATAGTAAACTTCCTAGACGTTACATTTAATCTGAACAATAATACTTATAAACCCTTCCAAAAGGAAAACCAATCACCCATATATATAAATATCCACCCCAATCACCCGAAATCAATAATTAAACAAATCCCAAATACAGTAAATGCTAGAATAAATAAACTTTCCTCCAGTAAAACCATTTTAACCAGAATAAATGGGAATACAATAAAGCCCTGTTAAAAAGCAATTTTAAGCAAACACTAAATTACATAGATAAGTCAGTAAGTAAAAAATCCACTAAACCCAAAAATAGGAAAAGGAAAATTATATGGTTCAACCTACCTTTTTGTAACCTCTCCAATATTAACATAGATAAATACTTCATAAAACTGATAGAAAAACACTTTAGCAAAAATGCATCTCTGAAAAAAATATTCAACAAGATGAATCTAAAGATTAGCTATTCTTGCATGAACAATATGGAAAGAATTATTAGCTCACACAACAGTAAATTTTTAAGAGACCTTCAGGATAATCTAAGACAAAATCAGGATACAACACGAATGGAAAAATCAACATGCAACTGCAGGACAGGATCAGAGTGCCCAGTTGAAGGAATATGCATGGCAGAGAACACAATATATGAAGCAACAATTTTCCTTAAAGAAAAAGTTGAAGAGAAAAAGATATACATTGGAATATCAGCGGGAGATTGGAAACGCCGACTATACAACCATCGCCAATCCTTCAAAAATAAATGTAAAAAAAACAAACAGCACTATCAAATCATTATTGGGTTTTGTTGGAGAGTGGCTTAACGCCACAAATAAAGTGGAGAATAATATCAAGAGCCAGAACTCCCAAAAACTTCAGAGACAGATGCAAATTATGTTTGAAGGAGAAAACCTTCATAATCAAACATAAAGATCCAGACATACTACTAAATAGACACAATGAACTAGTTTTTAAATGCCGGCACAAAAACAACCTAAACCTAAGCAAGTACACTAATAAATAATCATATAGAAGCAGCAATTTTGAATGTTTTATATTCCCTTTGTTTTTAGAAATATTACTATGCACACGTGAACGCTAACACATGACTATATGTATACAACTATGATAATGTATTTGCACACTGAGACACATGTTGATATGTACATGTATATGTTTTTATACGGAAAAAGAAGCATACCGGCTTTTTTTTGTGAGTGTGGAGATGTACAATTAGATGGTGTTTATCAATTCACCCACAGGAATTGAATGTGGCACAAGGCCTTTTTAATGTGGGTATGTCTGAGCCCGTAGGCCCAGCCAAAAATAAAACCCATCTAAACCCGTCCAAGCGGGCTAGTTCCGTCAACCTCCCCGAACGAAACCCCACCCTTCGGCGGAGCTTCGTCCGGGTTCCCCTCTGCAAGCAGAGAGTTCGACAGACACCCGACCCGGCAGCTCACAAAGCGCAGATACTACACTTTGATCCTAGCCACCGGGCCGAGCGGGTATTCTTTTTTTAGATACGATTAGATACGATTAGATGTTTAGGTACAATTAGATAGGTACTTATATATTTTGCTATAAATATGAAAGATCGGGTAATATTATATGTGTAAAGATATAGATAATTTAATTAAATATTGAGAACGCAGGCATAAGTGGATGCACGGGTGGACATGAGGATAGGGACAAATACGTGGGTAGATATATGTAAGTGAAAATTAACGCATATGTGGGTATGTAGATATTCTGCATATTGCGTATGCATATGCATATTTGTGTGTATGTTTATGTATGTATGTATGTATGTATGCATATATAGGTGTGTGTATGTATGTGTATATGTGTATACGTATGGATGTGTAAATATATATATATGTGCGTATGAATATATATGGATATGCAGATGTCCATGTGTGTATATGTATATATGTAAGTATAAGTATACATGGAGATAGGTATGGAGACATGTGGATGTGCGTTTTCTCTGCAGGTGTATATGTGTAAAGATGGAAATATACATATATCGTTTCATGTGAATGTGTGTGTAGGTGTATATAGGAACTCATAGGCATATAAGACGATATAGGGATGTGGTTACAAATAGGGGTTTAAGACATATGTAGATAAGAAATTGTAAAAGAAGGGCCTAATTTTCTGCTAGTGACATCTCTTCCAAATTTCTCCTTTAATATTCTCCAATTGGAAGTGAATTTTAAATAGCACGAAGGGAAAGTTTTAGATTAGTATTTTAATTGAGATTGAAAGATACTACCCCAATGTGGAAAATAAAATTATTTAAATGGGAATAACTGTTGATAACTGGATACATAAAAACAACCACGAGTTTACTTAATGAACAAAAATCAAAAACAATCACGAGTTTACTTAATGAACAAAAATCAAACGAATAAATGTCAACCTAACAAGCTATAAGATAAAAGTTTTAGTGGAAAAAAGTACTAAATATAAATTGGATTACTCTTCCAATGTTCTGTCTATGGATTTTCCAATCGACTGCTTCATAGAAAATACCCAAAACTCCACCGAATTTCAAATTAATTTCTTCGTAGATTGTTTGAAAATTTAGATACTTATCAAACCTTAACCTCCCAAATATGCACGTTAAAGTAACGCGAACTGACAGCGTCTAAGAATTTGAATGAAACCTGTCGTGTAATTTATTGGGGTTATTGTAACGTCTCCCTTTAATGTAGTCCTTATCGCTCACCCCTTAACCACCTTTATCTAGAGACGAGACGCGTTAAATTTGAGCAACATCCAGCCGACACACTGGGGTTAAAATAGGAAACTAAAATGATACATATGACACACTCATATCCTCTCTCCCACCTCACTTCCTCACTTCGTTAACTTTGCGTATACTTGATGAGGTCCGTAAAAAACGTGTGAATTTCTTTTCATTTTTCATTTCAGCTTTTGGAATTAAGTCTGATAATCCAGAACCCTGTTAAAGGGGTTATGGTGAAATAGCTTATTACATGGAATCTTAACGTGGTCTGTCTTTTATTCAAAATATATATATATATATATATATATATATATATATATATATATATAGCTGGAGATGGAAGAAGTGAATTCACACTTTTTCCAAGGGTATTAGCACGTAAGTGAATGTAACTGGATTAAATAGCAGAACAGACAGGGTTCTATAGCCTTGGATGGCAACTGGTCTTGGGGACCTTGTGGCACGTAGTGCACCAGGTCTCTGAATTCAGCTCTTCAAAAAGTGTGGATGGTCCTGCACAAAACCTTCAGCACTATAATCAAATCTCATGTGGTGTTGTCGGGCCGTCGGTTTCCTAAGAACTGATCTGCTTGACCATCATACGTCGAATTTCGACGGGAGAATCGAGAGTAAATTTCCTGTATTATATATATATATATATATATATATATATATATATATATATATATATATATATATATATATATATATATATATATATATATATATATTAATGACCATCATATATATATATATATATATATATATATATATATTATTAATATAATTAATATATATATATTATTAATATAATTAATATATATATATATATATATATATATATATATATATATATATCATATATATATATATAT